AAACCTGGGCCTGTAAACACCGTCTCCTCGACAATCAGCAGGAAAGGAAATATGTCATTGACACCTCTCTACCAGCCTCCTCTTCACGGAGCAGGCCCAGCGAGGGCAACTCAGCTCATTGCTTTCCTTTGAAGCCTTCCTGACCACAGCAACCCTTTTTTGGCTATCTCACAAGAGCATCTCGCCGCCCCCAGTCCTAGATGTGCCATTGTCAAGTCTTCTGTGCAACCACGGAGCCTAAGAAGAGCCAGAGACAATACCATTGGTCCAGATTTGACAAAAAAGAGACCGCTTCTTTTATTCTCAGCTTCAAAGATTCTCATCAGCTCAAAAAGGAAGCAACCCTCCACCCTCCAAACCAGGAGCTCCTACAACCTTCAACTCCCAGTTCCACCAATCAATGGTGTTGGTTGATGGTGTTAACCGTTCAGTCGAGTCCGATTCTTGCAGATTCCCAGATCTTTCCACATTTCAATGCTCTGTATGGTGTTAGCGTAGTTTCTGGTGGCCTGGTTTCCCTTTTATGCTAACCCTTCCAAACATAATTGCTTTCTCCTGTGACCCAAAGATGCTTTTTTTTCAACAGGCAACTGGATTTTCTAGTTTTTCTTTTGAAGACATTTCACTTCTCATCCAAGAAGCTTCTTCAACTCTGATTGGATGGTGGGGGACGGAAGGATTCACACTCCTTGCAGATAGCTGGTCATTTGCATCCTTTTAGAGGGCCATTGAGGCTACCTGGAGGTTTATCTGTGTCCTCAGGTTCACATTAAGATCATATTAAGAGCAACTGCGTTCTCTTCGCTGATGATGTAAAGCTATTCAACACCACAGACAATACTTCTACCCTCCAAAAAGACCTTGACTGTGTATCAGAATGGTCAATCAAATGGCAACTTCAAATCTCAACAAATACATGCTCTGCCTTACATATTGGCAGAAAAAAATCAGAAAATAAAATACAAGCTAAATAGTCAAGACCTTGTTGATGATCCAAGCTCTGTCAAGGACCTTGGAGTACTCATCTCTAATGATCTAAGTGCTAGAGCCCACTGTAACTACATAGCCAAAAAGGCATTAAGAGTTGTTAACTTAATCTTACGTAGCTTCTTCTCTGGTAACATCACACTACTAACTAGAGCATACAAAACATTTGCTAGACCAATACACGAATACAGCTCATCAGTCTGGAACCCACATTACGTATCTGATATTAACACAGTTGAGAAAGTCCAGAAATATTTCACAGGAAGAGTTCTCGACTCCTCTACTCGTTGCAGAAGACCTTATGCCACCAGACTTGAAATTCTAGACCTAGAAAATCTAGAACTACGCCCCCTTCGGTCCGATCTAAGTATAGTATATAAAATCATACATTGCAATGTCCTACCTGTCAATGAATACTTCAGCTTCAACCATAACAACACAAGAGCACACAATAGATACAAACTCAAGGTTAACCACACCAAACTTGATGGCAGGAAATACGACTTCAACAACCGAGTGGTCAATGTCTGGAATCCTCTACCTGACTCTGTGGTTTCTTCCCCAAACCCCAAAAACTTTAACCTTAGACTGTCCACTATTGACCTCACCCCCTTCCTAAGAGGCCTGTAGGGGGCGTGCATAAGCGCACCAATGCGCCTACTGTCCCCGTCCTGTTGTTTTTATTTTTCTTATAAGTAACTATCTCATATATTCAAAACTATATTTATTCTTATACCTGTATCTTGTAAGCAATTGACAAATCAAATAAATGCTAAAAAAAAAATACTAAATACTAAAAAAAATACCCGAGTGGTGCAAATAGTTCCTGTAGTCTGCAATCCCTCTGGAAATCCATTCATACTCCCACACCATTCGAAAGGTGGACTAGAAAACCTCCAAGGTCCCTTCCAACTCTGTTATTCTGTTAACCATAAGGGAACACAATAGAAGAGACTAACCTACACTTGTTTGCCTGGCTGATATCCACCCAGCATCTTCAAAATTAGCTACCAGGATCCTTGGTGCTTCTCATCATGTTGACCATTAGCAAACTGGTCATTCTTTAATCTGGAAATGTCTAAGCAGGTGGAAGAAGGAGAAGGAGAAGGAGAAGGAGAAGGAGAAGGAGAAGAAGAAGAAGAAGAAGAAGAAGAAGAAGAAGAAGAAGAAGAAGAAGAAGAAGAAGAAGAAGAAGAAGAAGAAGAAGAAGAAGAAGAAGAAGAAGACTGTGGGGTCCTGGTGTTAGTTGTTTTCTTGCAGATGTTTCAAAACCAGACTAGGGAACATCTTCAGGGCTGGAAGGGAGTGGGGTATGTGGAGGAGGAGGAGGAGGAGGCTGGAGAATCACTTCTCATGAACGCTTGGATTGATTTTCCTGCAGCTACTAGAAGGCTGCGCTAGATAATCTTCCCATTTCAGCATTGTAGGACTCAGCGAAGTGAATTGGCTCTTTCCTCTATTAAATCATAGAATCGTGGAGCTGGAAAAAACCTCCAAGGTCTTCTAGTCCAACCCCTGCTCAAGGCAGGAGTCCTTATACACCACCTCCAGACGAATGGTTGTCCAGTCTGTTTTTGAGAACCTCCAGTGATGAAGCACCTGCAACACAAGCGCACCGTCTGGAAAGCTTTGGGTGTCTCTGTCTGCGGCAGCTGTGATCTTGAAACGGATAGGAGAATAAACGAAAGGATAAACTCTCCTTTGGGTTCAACTTGAGCCCTTGTGATTTACCAAATATCTCTTTTTCCAGAGATAAACAACATAAACTCTGGTTCAGCTTATCCTTTCAAGATAATTGAAATTAGCGGTATGTGCTGCCATCTAGCTTCTTCCCAATTCAATTATTTAAAATACGGTGCAAGGACAGTGAATTATGCTAACTCTGTTCAATGTATTCCACACCATTAAATTAAATCTAATTTCTGTTTTTGGCTTGGTTCCACTATTTACTTTGACACTGGCCCAAATGTGCCCATATAGTACAGCTAGTCCTCAACTTAACGGCCACAACCAAGGTCACAACATTCAAGTTGCTAAGCGAGACATTGGTTAAATGAGGGTTTGACCCACTTTGCGACTTTTCTCACCACATTTGTTAAGCGAATCACAGCAGTTGTTAAATTTGTCACACAGTCGTTAAGCAAATCTAGTTTCTCTCGTTGACTTGGCTGGTTGAAGGGTTGCAAAGGGGGAGCACTTGACCCCGGACAATGCAGCAACCATCATAAATGTAAGTCAGTAGTTCAAGCTTCTGACTGCAAATCATGTGACCATGGGATGCTGCAAAAGTCGTAAGTGTGAAAAATGGTCATAAGACTTAGAATAAATGTATTGAATAAAAGAGCTTGAAGGGATCTTGGAAATCTTCTAGTCCAGCCTCTCAAGCAAGAGACCCTGCACCATTTCAGATAAAGGACAGGGGTGGGATTCTACCCATTCGCACCTATTCGCTAGAACCGGTTGTTAACATTCTAAGCAGTTCGGAGAACCGGATGTTAGAAGAAATTACTGGGCTAATCCTGTAAGGGAGGCAGGAAGGAAACATTCTGGTGTTGCTTACAGAAACTGCCTCTCCATTAACCCTTATTACATTCTTGGCAGGACTGGAATTCCTGTCTCAGGAACTTCTCTGGAGTTATTTTTCCCTCCTTTGCTGGTATTTTGATGTGTGGAATGACCGTTCAAAGTTACAATGGCACTGAAAAAAGTGACTTATGACCATTTTTCACACTTACGACTGTTGCAACATCCCCACAGTCATGAGAGGCCAGGTGAGGAGATGTGTGCTTGAATGTGAGTGATATTGAGTTGGCCATGCCCAGCCAATAATATGACCACTAAGCCACATCCACCCAGTCACATGACCGCCAAGCCACGCCCACCACCTAAGCCACGCCCACAGAACCGGTTCTTTAAAAAATTGAATCGCACCCCTGATAAAGGGGCCATCCTTGAAGGCCTCCAGTGGTGAAGCAACCACAAGTCATTCCACTGGTTAATAGCAGTAATAGATGAACAGAGCTGGAAGGGACCTTGGAGGTCTTCTAGTCCAGCCCCTCAAGCAGGAGACCCCTATGCTATTTCAGATAAATGGCTGTCCAGCCTCTTCTTAAAAACCTCCAGTGTTGGAGCACCCACAACTTCTGGTGGCAAGCTGTTCCACTGGTTAATTGTTGTCACTGTCAAGAAATTCCTCCTTAATTCCAGTTTGCTTTTCTCCTTCAATCAATCAGAAGAGAGCTGGAAGGGACTTTGGAGGTCTTCTAGTCCAACCCCCTGCTCAAGCAAGAGACCCTATCCCATTTCAGAAAAGTTACAGTCCAGTTAGTTTCCATCTTCTTGTCCTGCCTTCAGGGGTTTTGTCAAGCAAGCAAGAGTACCTCTTCTTTGTGGATTTGATAGATTTGTTTGTCTATCCTTTTCTTTTAAAATATTAACTAGGGGTCATTTTTCTTAATCCAGGACTGCTATCTGATGTGAAGTTGTTCCGTGATGGTGTTATATAAACACCATTAAAATAATACACACACACACACACACACACACACACACACATATCAATAAACTTTTAACCAGTTTTACAAACAAGAAATTTCTTCTCTTCCCTTGTGTGTCAACATTGGGTGTTCTGCCAATGGAACAGCTTGGCCCCGGAAGTTGTGGGAGCGCCATCACTTGAGACTTTCAAGAAGAGATTGGACTGCCATTTGTCCGAAATGGTGTAGGGTCTCCCGCTTGGGTGGGTGGGGGGTTGGACTAGATGACCTATACGGTCTCTTCCAACTCTGATTATCTGTTATCTATTAAGGCAATGGGTCACTTGGTGCAGAAACAGACAGCATCCAACCCAGGAATATAGCCCTGGTGTGTTCTGCTGTTCACTTTGGAATTTGCACCATGCTTTCCACACATACCTCCATCTCACACACACACACACACACACACACACACACACACACACACTTGCTCTGTCCTGCCCACAAATCACAGTTCAGAGTCCAGAGAAAGACCAAACAAGATAGCGTGTCTCTTTTGCAACTCAACATAAACCACTGATAAAAGCAGAAAGGAAGAACGTTTTTGATCTGGGAGCCGATCAGCCCCTGCCGTGAGCACCATGGATCTTATCAATGCCTTGACCCCCTCGTCTTTGTTGAAGTAAGTTCATGGGGGGGGGGAGGGAAGGAGACATGGGGGCTGGATAAGTTGGGGTTGGAAGTCTCGATTTCTGAAATCTTTGTCATCCTTGTTTCTCCAGCTAGCTCTCAACATCTAGCCTTCTTTTGTTGGGGAATGTGGAAGGGGGGCACATCCCTGTTTGTGGAAAATGACGGAAGACACAGCAAACTAACTGACTTACTTTCTTTATTACCTTTTTTTATTTTATTTAAAATACATACAATTCAACTCTCATTTAACAGTGTTAAATGTGGTTACAAATATCTTGTGCAATAACAGTTAATTTTAAAACCATATTCATTACTTCGATATTCTCTATTCTTATCTTATTTTTATTGACATACATAATATTTCTATTACAATAACACTCCTTAACACATTCAATTCTATTAACATATTTTCTATATTTCACTAGTCTATTAGCTATTTCTAGCTTTCATATATTTTCTCTAGCCATCAATAAAATAGTTCCCATATCTGGAAGTATTGCTCCTTCTCTTTAATTGAGAGTGTTAATTTATTCATTTCTGCACATTCTAATATTTTTTCTGATCACATTTTCATCAGTAGGAATCTCTTCACATTTCCATTTTTGAGCAAATATAATTCTAGCCGCAATTAATACACGAATAATCAAATATATATTCTCTTTACTATAAATTTCAGGTAAAATCCCCAACAGGAATATTTCAGGTTTTAAATCAATGTGCTGCTATAGCATCTTCTCCAGCCGTGTGTGTATTTTTGTCCAATATTTTTTGGCTTCTATGCATCTCCACCACATATGGATAGTATGATCCAGGTGTTTGGTGGCATTTCCAACATTTAAGCTGATTTATCTTTAAATAATCCTTGCCAACCTCACCATTTTTTGAGAAATGAAGGAAGGCAGAGAGATAACCAAGTTACGCCTGGAACAATGTCAGCATCTGAAATTAAAATATCTTAGCCTTGAGTTGGCCAACCCTTGAAGAAGATTTGAATTTGGAGCAGAATCAGTGTTTAAAACAGATTGCCAATGGTTTTCCATTCTGGATTCACTCTTCTTTTAGAGCGGGGGTCCCCAAACTTAGCAACTTTTATGACTTGTGGACTTCAAGTCCCAGAACTCCCCAGCCAGACAAGTTGAAGTCCATCTATCTTAAAGCCAGAAGATTGGGAAACATTACTCTAAAACAGGTGTCTCCAAACTTGGCTGGCTGAGGAATTCTGGGAGTTGAAGTCCAGAAGTCTTAAAGTTTGGAGACCCCTGTTCAGAACAATATTTCACAACCTTGCCACTTTAAGATGCATGGACTTCAACTCCCAGAATTCCCCAGCCAGCATAGTTGGCTGGGAAATTCTGGGAGTTGAAGTCCATCCCTCTTAAAGTAATAAAGCTTGGAAAACTCATTATTTATAACAATAATGAAGGGGAAGAGAAGTAAATATTCATACTGTACCAAGTCAAAAAACATAGTCACCTTTTCAGATTAAATTCTTTATTTATTTGTTCGTTTATAAAATTTATAAGCTGCCCACCTTCTTTCAAGGTAACCCTTATTTTTAATAAGCCCAGCTCTACCGCAACATTCAGCCAATCTTGGCTTATTTTACAAATGCAAGGTATGATCTGGCTTGTTCCACATTTTGGAAGCTAAAAAAACAACAACAGGGGTGCATCACTGCTCCATGGATACGTCTGTGCAATTGAGACAGACTCCTTTGCTACTCCATCTCTACTCCATCCCCCTCTATCTGGAGAAAACTTCCTGGAATGTGGACTATGACCTCCACAGCTAAGGAACAATTCTTGCTGTAATAAACAGCTCCACGTAATCCTGATTAATTGGGGCAATTTGGAGAACCCATTAGGGCTAATCTCTGGAAAATCAGGGACGGGCATGTCTTAGAGAAGGATATTTTTTGTGGCACTGTAGAAGAGGAAGGTGTGTTTTTTCGCTGGACACTCTGCACATGCCCTGGTGCAACACCCTGCAAAGTCATGTGACGTGTTAATACCGCTTTATAATGCCTTAATAAGACCACACTTGGAATATTACATCCAGTTTTGGTCTCCAAGATGTAAAAAAAGATGTTGAGACTCTTCTAGAAAGAGTGCAGAGAGGAGCCACCAGGATGATGAGGGGACTGGAGGCTAAGACATACAACGAACGGTTGCAGGAACTGGCCTAGTTTAATACAGAAAAAGTGCTAGGAGTGAGCAGGGGTTGGACTAGAGGACCTCCAAGTTCCCTTCTAACTCTATTAACATATTCTGTTAGTCTAACGAAGAGAAGGACTAGGGGTGACATGATAGCAGTCTTCCAATATTTGAGGGGCTGCCACAAACCTTATGCCACCACCTTATGCTAGCACCTTATGTCGACAGATAAAGGCAGAATGCACAAATTATTACTGTAAGCAGGAGGAAAACCTCCTACGTAAAAATCTACCTGCGCCTTTTACAATTTTGTAAACTCTAAACTTAAAGACTCAAGAACCATCCCACCTCAAAAGGGACCGAATGGGAAAGACTGCAGCGATGAAGCTGTTAAGGCCAGCCTCTTCAACACATTCTTCAGTTCAGAATTGGAATGGCTCATGCGCCATATTTCCTAGTTGTATCACAACTAACTGCAGTGATCTACTACATATTGACTTTACAGAAGATAATGTAGAAAAGGCACTACGTAACCTAAAACCATCCCTATCTATTGGCCCCGATGGGTTATGCGCATACTTCTTAAAAAAGCTCTCCTCTGCCATAGCAGAACCCCCCAAGCATTATAAATATGATATATCATTCAAAACCTATGGTCCTTGGCTACGGTCATCCCTATCTTCAAAAAAGGTGACCCCAGCCTGGTTGAAAACTACAGACCAATCTCACTGTGTTGTGTCACGTGCAAAGTCATGGAATGAATCATTAACCAATTCATCACCCTCCACTTAGAGTCAAACAACCGACTCTCCCAAAAACAATTTGGTCTCAGGAAAAAATTGTCCTGCAGCCTACAACTCCTACACTGCAAAAACATATGGACCACTCTACTCGACGCAATTTACATAGACTTCGGCAAAGCCTTTGATTCAGTATATATCACAGTATGTATATTAGCAACTGCATCCTCTTCGTGGATGATGTAAAGCTATTCAACACCACTGACAATGCTACTGTTCTTCAAAGTGACCTTGATTATTATGTCTGAATGGTCAAACATTTGGCAACTCCAAATCTTGACCACCACTGGACTAGAGGCATGGTGGCATCTCCCAATATCTGAGGGTCTGCCACAAAGAAGGGGGGGCGTCAACCTATTTATCAAAGCACCTGAAGGCAGGAGAAGAAAACAAGAGATAGAAACTAACCAAAGAGAGAAACAACCTGGAACTTCCTGACAGTGAGGACAATTAACCCTTGGAACAGCTTGCCACTAGAAATTGTAGTTGCTCCATCACTGGAGCCTTTTAGGAGGAGATTGGACAATCACTTGTCTGAAATGGTACAGAGATTCCTGCTTGGGCAGGGGTTAAGACTAGAAGACCTCCAAGGTCCCTTCTCACTCTGTCATTCTGTTACTCTCCCTCTCCCTCAGGTCGGCCTCCAATGCAGGTTCGGAAATCTCCCGCCGGGTCTGGACCCCGAGCCCTCTGCCCCAACGGCCGTTCCGAGTATGCGATCACAAGCGCAACATCCGCAAAGGACTAATGGCGAGCACTTTGGAAGACTTACTTAACAAGGTTTGTATGTATGCTTGGGACATTTCATGTGTGTTGTTTTTCTTTTTAAACTCCTTGATCATTATTATTTTGGTACATCGGCCAGAAGTTCAAAAATGCTGGATTTGGCATTTCGGTCCACCCAGCAGGTTCTTCTCAAGGACCTGAGATAGCCCGACAAGTTTGTGCTAATTATTATCATTTCTAGCTGGATATCCGTGCTTCACTATGAAACTAGGTGGTCGGACTTAGTTTTTGGGGAGAAAAATAAATGGGGGGATTCTGCCTCTGCCTACCAGCATCCATGGGCATTCATCTGGCTAGCGTCCTGTCAGTGTGAGAGTCGAGGGCTGTTTGAAAACTGGAAGAGTATTTACAGTGTGAGCAAGGAGACAGCAAGGAGCCTGGGCGTGGCTTAGCTCAACAGTTCGATACTAAAGCTGCTTGGTGTTGTGAAACTGAGACTGAAACTCCTCTCCTCTGCTTGTGTTTTGCATTTGGAAGAGATTTCTTTTCAGGTGGGGAGGGGGAGTACAACCCCTTAGCACCAGAGCGTGTTAATAATAATAATAATAATAATAATAATAATAATAATAATAATAATAATAATAATAATAATAATATAGAAAATACTCTAAATGCTCTGATGGTCATTGCGAAAAATCCTTTCTCAGCCAACACCTGGAAGCCAAGAGGAACCTACGTGCCCAATTTCAAGTTTGTAGGCTTTACGATTGTGGAGATTTTGTGATGATGCATGAGTGGTATTTCTATATATATATATATATATATAAATTATATAAGTTTTTGTAGATTAGATATATATATATAAATTATATATGTATATATAAAGAGGGAGAGAAAGAGAGATTTATATAGAGACAGATTTAATCTCCCAGAAAATGTCTCTCTCACACACACAACTGTTTTGAAGGTCAGGTTCTGAATTTGCAGCAGGTCATTCCACATCGGCCTCTCTTTTCCCATCTGTGAAATGGGTATAAAATCTCGATGCACATAGTTAATGCATCGAAGAAGCAAATGAAGAAGGGGGGAAGATGTGTGCCTCAGCTGGGTCGGTGTCTTGTTTCGTAGGCCAGAGAGACCCTCTTGCTCTCCGGCCTGGTTTCCTTGGTGCTGGAAGAAGACGGGACCCTGGTTGAGACAGAGGAATTTTTCCATATCCTGGAAGACAACACAGTCTTGATGGTGTTGCAGAAAGGACAGAAGTGGACTCACAGCAAGGTGGGTGTCATCCAATCAAATCGAGAAAAGTTTGGACATCCCTTTGGGTGATAGAAGATCTCTAGAAGATTCCTTCAAAGTCCCTTCCAGCTCTATGCATGTGTCTGTCTACCCATCTATCATTATCAATCATCTATCTCTGTCTAATATCTGTCTATCTAATCTATCCATCCATCTACCCATCCATTATCTGTGTGTCTGTCTATATCTATCATGTATCATTTAGCTCTCTATCCATCCATCCGTCCATCCATTATCTATCTATCTATCTATCTATCTATCTATCTATCTATCACCTATCTATCATCTGTCTATGTCTGTCTATCTGATCTATCATCTATATCTGTCTACCTGTTTATCTATCTATCTAGATCTATCATCTATCATCTGTCTGTCTATCCAATCTACTATCTATCTATCTAGCATCTATATCTGTCTATCTCTATCTATGTATCTATCTCTATCTATCATCTCTGTCAATCAGTCAATCTTATCTATCTAATCTATCATCTATCAATCTTGTTTACCTATCTTTATCTATTTATGTATCTATAGCTATCTATCTATCCATCCATCCATCCAACCATCTCTCTCTCTCTCTCTCCCTCCCTCCCTCCATCTCTCCATCCATCCATCCATCCATCTATCTACCTATCTATCCATCTATCTATCTATCCATCTATCTACCTACCCATCTATCTATCTATCTATCTATCTATCTATCTATCTATCTATCTATCTATC